TCCAGAAAATCTGCATGGACTGCCTGTGAGTACAGCATGACAATTGCACAGTGGGGGATGCTATAATCGACCCAGGGCTATGTCCTCTCTCGAATAAATATGTAAATAGTCTGCACCAAGAAAGCCACATTTCTACATTTCCCCCATGTAATTTATTCTGCTTTTCCTATTCATGGGGAGGGGGAATTAAGTTCTGCAGTGCTCTAATGCTTCTTTTTCAGCCAATGAACGTTCTAATTCCTCTGTTCCTTTGGCTCCAGAGATTTCACCAGGCATTGCCTACACACTTTACCTGAAGGTGTGAGGGCTGTAAACTTTCTTTCTTTTTACAATCAGTGCCAGATTCTATGGCTGTTGTGCACTGCGAAGCACTCTAGAGCACACACACAAGGCACTGAATATGCTATCGCCATCACTTCCTCAATCTGTCAGTGATAAGTGTGTATAGAGGAGGCATGACATGGAATCCGTGCTCTGTATTTGAATGTAACAAGTAGGTATGTCTTTTGAATGCAGTGCATCATAATAAATAAATAAATAGACATGCCTAAGTTGTAGGCATGGCAGATGGGGAAGGATGGAACACAACACAATGGAAGAGTGAAATTCTGTCTCCAGAGAAGGTGACAATGAATTTGTTGGGCAGGGGGGATATTCCAAAGAAAACAAAGGCTACTATTCACCACTGTGTGACTACAAAAGGAAAGGTATATCAGCTAGCTGATTTATATGGTGCTATAAGCAATATAAACTATCAAAGGGAGTGGGGAGTTCAACAGCAAGTAGATCCCTGCTTCAAAGACCTTACAATCAAATTTTCAACAAGTGAGAGACATGAAGGAAGGGAAAGCAAAGCAGCAGGGATGAATCAGAGAGGTGCAGTTACTTGTTTTGAGGCTTTGTTTTAAGTTGCAGATGAGGCTAAGGTTAAGGGGTGAGTGAGGAAAGCTTTGAAAGAAGAGAGGAAGAGGCATCCTAAAAATAGTTCTGTGTATAAGAGCTCAAATGCACAGCATTACACACAAAACTGAACGTCAATGTTGAATGAATTGCCTCCTTATTTGCATTCTGTTGCTAGGCTGGGTTTTCTAAGAAGGACTTGTTTTCAAATTCATATATCCCAAGACAATAACTTCCTCACCCAGTATTCCCTTGTTCTTGACTAGAAGTTTACAGAAGCTGAAGACATATTAAAATGAGGGTTGATGCTCTGGGAGTTTCGTAGAGCAACCTGGCATGCCTTTATTGCTTTGCTTCTTTGCTTCTTCAAGTTAACTGTGCACAAAATACTGCACCTCTATATCCTGCAACAGGGCCACTAGCTGAAATAGCTTCTTGGGGTCTGTCAGTTGTATGTACGAGATTTCTTCAAAGTATTTGAAATGTTCACCCCAGGTTGCTATCCAGTTGTTCCTCCGTCTGCTAGGCAATATTCTTCCATTCTGCATATCTCAAGTTCGTTGACCTTCCACACAAAAAGTTTAAAAGAGATTCTCTGAAAAGTATTAGCGATTAAAGCCAATAATAATCTTCCCCTAGTCCAATATTGAGAAACAATACATCCTTTATCTCTATTCCCTCAGGGGACTCTTCGCTGTGGTCATATACTGAGACAGTAATCCATAATTGCTTATTGTTTATTCATTAATTCACATCGAAGTCCATATCTTCCGATTCCATTTACTGTTGCTCATGGTTTTCCATCCTTTTATTTTTTAAGCCGGCTTCCGTTTTCTCTTCTTCGATTCTTTTTTCAGGAATGTTGTCAGAGACTTAGTAGCTTGGCCCTCTAATTTAACTCCAAATTTTATGCAGCTCTGTCTCTGCTGGCTCAGGATAATTATTAATTTCTCTGTTCATGGTTTCCTTCGCCTCCAACATCATAACTCCACCATTTGACTGTTTCACCCCTACAGAAACCTATCTATTGCCTCCAGCTTTACCATTCCATTCTCTCGTTCTGGCAATCGTCCATTAGTATTTTCCCCCAAGTACTCTTTCCCTCTCAGTCCATTTTTATTCACTGTTCTGTCCATTTCTGTTCTAAGTTCTTCCAATTGATCATTGAGTAGTTGTCGCATGATACCAGCAATCAGTGGGGTGTTTTTCCAGTATTTTCACCATACTGAGTGTTCCCCCCCCCACCCCGAGATCCACACAGTCCTTGCTTACATTCCTAACATTCAACTCTCACAGTGAGCAGCCATGTAGTTTCATATTACAGTCAGCACATTCATCAGTGAATAGGAGGATTTAAAATAAGACAAAATAAAGTGAAAATTTCTCAGAGTTGGAGAATCTCCTGTCTGTTTATAAAGTTTCTTTGCTATTTATTACTGGAGCTCACTTTTTTCTAGTTTTGCTTTCAGCCCCTCTTAAGTTTCTCCTTTTAAGCCGAACATTGCAGACGAACATTTTAGCCAGCAGAGAGATGGCCTTGGTCATAATTTATAGAAGTTTTGGAAATAATTGCAGAAAGGGAAGTTAGCTGACCTTTATCCTAAGGACTAACACCTAGGATGGTAATGCAGTGTTCAGGAATGGTTACGGTTCTTCCACTCTTGGTTGCTCACTCCATCCATCCAGGTCCTTTGAAGATTTTTTGTTCCCGCAGCATGGGAGCAGACCTTTTAGAGCACTGGAAGTTAATCCCTGTTATCCCTGTTCCTCAGAGGTCACTGTAGGTCCTTTTGTGCTATGAGAAGCAAGAAGGTGGCACAAAGCATCAGATACTGAACAGCCCTTGATGGACATCATTGCAGTAAGCGCTACGGCAGTGAGTCGCTCCCCTTCCTCCCTATGCCATTTTGAGAAATCGAACTGGCTTGCATTCCAGTGACCTTCTCCCTGTCTTCTTCTCGTATGTAGAACTGCACTTTGATAGGTTAACACCCGTGAAGTTACTTAGAAGCCCCTTCATGGCAAACATGCGTATATAAATTGGAAGTGGAGCTGGTGGGGATGTGGTTCTGCATGCAACCACCACCCACTTCTAATAAGCCTGAATATGGCTTATATCTCTTCCAGTTTGTTTGTTTGTTTGTTTTAAACTCCCCCAAGTTCCTTGTGGGAAATTCTTAGCATAGGTAAGAACTAATCTTTGTTTATGTGGGGCTGAAATGACTCTTTACTGGTTTCCAGATACATTTAAGCTGCAATCCTTATCTATATATTTTTGGGGAGAAAGCCCCGGTGTACACAGTGGAACATCTTTCCAAATAAACATGTAAAGAAATGAGTTACAAATCTGCTGCATTTTCTTTGACCTGAGAATATTGTGGCCCTTTAGAGTCAGAGAAGTTTTTATTTAACCCCTACATACAATGGGGGGAGCATCAGAAACTGTCTGAAACATGATGCTTGTGCACCATGAAGATGTGCCCAATTAAATGTTATTGGGGTTTTCGCATAATTGGGAGTTTAATTTGCTGTATTCGGGATCAAAATAGAATTTCTCCAGGTCAGATTTGCAATGGTGAAGCACTAACCATCTTGCATAGTATATTTTTAAATTTAAAGCCACTGCTGCATTTTTTAATTTACAGAGCAAGAATGAATACTCAGAATCTTTTTTAAAAAATAAAGTGATCCAGAGTATCTTTAAGAACAGCAGAAGAACCTTTCAGCATTAGGCCCAGGTCCACTTAGCTCTGCACTTAGATCCACTTGGATCATTTCAAGGAATACTGGGAACAAGCAGGTACAGTGATGCCTCGGGTTAAGAACTTAATTCATCCTGGAGGTCTGTCCTTAACCTGAAACTGTTCTTAACCTGAAACACCACTTTAGCTAATGGGGCCTCGTGCTGCTGCCACTGCGCCGCTGCTGCACAATTTCTGTTCTCATTCTGAAACAAAGTTCTTAACCCGAGGTAATATTTCTGGGTTAGCGGAATCTGTAACCTGAAGCATCTGTAATCTGAAGCATCTGTAACCCGAGGTACCACTGTAATTGGTGGTCTACCAGAATTTGGCCAGTGGAACACTATGAACCTCCATCTTCTTTCTGTCCACTTCTGGATTAAAATATGATTTAGAAGAACATGACACATATTTCATGACATACATAATTTCTGATATATAATTCCTGCATTGCAGAGGGTTGGACACTAGATGACCTTTGGGGCCTCTTCCAACCCTACAATTCTATGATTTAAAAAAGTATGAACAACGAGGAGAGAGGAGCTCCCACTTCTCATAAATTAGGACTTGGAGATCCCACAGTCAAGCTGATTGACAGTAGGCAAAAAAATGTACTCCTTCATATAGTCCATAATTGACTTATCCGGTTCACTAAGACAAGGTCTGGGAATGACAAGTGGCTTAGATGGCTTTTAGAAAGGATTAGACACATTCACAAAGGATAGGACTTCCAGGAGCTATTAGGTAGGCTAAGCAAACATAACTTCTGTGGGGGGAGTTGCAAATGAAAAGATGTGTATGTGTGGGGAGGAAGAGAAGTCAGGGCTTTGTGGCTATCAGGACCAACAGAATTTGAGATCAGGTGAGGATCAGCTGCAGGGATGGGGGTAGGATTGTCAAGCACAACCAACACCAACAAAATTATAGTACAGTAGAGAGGCCAAACTCATCTCTCTGCATTATACAAGGAGGCTTCAGGAAAGATATTATCTCTCCCCCCTCCCCCTTGCTTCTTCCCCAACTTTCACCATGTAGCAGGTCCTTGCTTCAAGCTGGCAGGAGCAAGGAACTGGATCACACTACCAAATGGTAGTCAGGGGAGAAACGAAAAGGGGTGGCAGTCACTCCAGTGCCCTGCTGTTGAGTACGCGGGGGCATCTGACTAGATGAGATGACCTGATCCATCAAATTGGCAGATACAGCAAATCGGTTCTTATGTTCTTAGGGGGCTGGGGGTTGTGTCTTGCAGTCCATGGCCTGGCTTGAATAATCTCAAGTTATTTGTTCCATAAGACGCTTTCTGCAGGGCACCTGCACTCTGTTGCGTTATACTGCTTAATCTGAGCCTCGTCCGTCTCACTCCTCTCATATAACTGCTAATCGCTGCAGTTGCTGCACGTATCACGTGTCTCCATGGCTTATGGGCAGGAAGACATTGAGTCCCCTTTCTTGAAATTGTCACAGGAGGCTTCTTTCAGTAACTTTCTTTGAACTTTCCTCCAGATTATCAACAATTACCTGGATGGGGCTCAAACAGGTTCCACAGAAAGGCTCACACCTGGAGGGATGCACTTCCGAGACAGCAAGAGGAAAGTGGACTATGTTTTAGCTTATCACTATCGGAAATCTACCTCGCAGTCCAGTGGTGGTTCTCCAAGCCTCTCGCAGAGACCTCCTTCTTTGGCTATCATTTCTAATGGGGAGACGGCCAAAAGTCAATCTGAACAGCAGCCGCCACAAGGCCAGGAAGCAGCTTCTCCAGATGCAGAGGTCATCGATCTGGGGCCATTGGAGGCTCTGGAGGAAGCGAAACGGGAGCAGAGGAAAGAGTTCGAAAGCAACCTGATGGAAGCTGGTCTGGAGATAGAAAAAGATGCAGAGGTAAGAGGAGGAACTGCCAACAGACAGGTAGGAAAGATCTGATGGGTGAGGCCAGAAATCAGGCCGGACTGTTAGCTTTCATTTTGCAAACAAAGTAAGTACCTAAGGCAGTCATGTCCAGAGTCCGGCCTGTGTGGCAGTCAACAACAACAATTTCAATCCTAAAAAAGCTCAACAATTTCAATCCTTAAAAAAAAAAGGTCAAAAAAAGGTCAACAACATTGGTTGGCCCTCACACATGTTCACTTCATTAAATCTGGCCCTCTTTGAAAAAGGTTTGGACACCCCTGGGCTTCTTGTTCAAAAGTTGTCAGACAAAACGCGAGCTCCTCCCCCAGCCCCAAACGTCAATGAAATGGGCTGCCCTGACTGGTAGTCCCTGCAGTACAGGGTTTTAGCCAGTTAAGTTAAATCAAAGCTGTGATTGGCAAGTCCCATTTTGAATATTACACAAGAGCTAGTGATTTCTAGAGCTCCCTTTTCTGCTTCTGTCTCATTGTTGCCCAATCCAGACTTGCATGTTGGTAATAGTAGTGCCCGTGTGCATAGCAGTAGCTCTCCACGGCCCATCCACTTCCTCCTCTCTCTGTGTCCTTCCAGGCATGCACATTCAACAATTTCATGGCTGATAATAAGTGTACATGCAGCTTTAAATTATCATTATTTTTGCAAAAAAAGGAGGATGTTATACATTTTATCTATCAACTATTTTTGGAGAGAAATATAAAAGTGTGCATTCAGTTTATGATGTCATTAAAATGTGTTGTACTTCCTTCTAAATGTTTGAATATTTTTTATTTATCAGACTGATACCTCTACGCCTTCTTCCAAAGGAGTCTGGAGCTATAGGAAGTTTAATTTTTCCTGTTTTTCTAAACAGGACAGCTTGGCCTGTTTTGAATCTGGTTTTTGTCAGCTTCCTATACTCACTTTTCTGTGAGTAAGGCTGCAATCCTAATCCAATTTATCTGGGAGTAAACCCCATTGAATTTAGCAGGACTTATTTTTCAATAAATGTGGTGTGTATGTGTAGTTTTTCTTACAACCTGTGAGCTAGGTTGGGCTGAGAGCTGGTTCAGTCACCAAAGCACACGGCATGCTTACAGTATTGTGTGGGTTTGGGGTTTTTTTTGCCAGAGTTGGCAAGCTTTTCTCTTTTTGTTTGATATAGCTCTTGCTGTACAATAACATGACAGTTGAAGCAAAAGCACAGTGTCCCTTTTGCAGCGATTTTATACCTCCTGCGCCTTAACAACAGCCATGTGAGACAAGTTTAGATGAAAGTTGGTGGCCAGTCCAAAGAAGTGAGCACAACAGTGATGAATTAAGTGACTTTTAAATGTTTAAACGGTACATTTTCAGAGGATGTATGTGCGTACCTGTACCTGCGTATCTAGTTATCAAGGTTGGAAAACTGGTTTTGCTTTTCACCTGCTATGAAAAATCAGGAGTGGAGGGTGGGAGGATGCCTGTTTTCCTAGGTTTGCTTGTGTTTTTATTTCCAGCATTTCATCACCTAATTATAAGGTTGTAGAAGTTAGTTTTTAATATATTAAGTTGCTCGGATGTCTTGGTGCTCTTGGTTTTTACAATGTGGAGCAGGGGAATGCTGGCGTAGAGAGAAATGTGCTTTATAGTAGGGAGTGTAGTTGTTATTCAATCTCTTGGAGAGTGTGTTTCTTCTAGGGAAATGCAGCAGTCAGATGGCGCATGGAGCGGGGGATGTTCGTTAAGTTGATTGTGGCACCAATTGGCAGGAAGAGGTGATTAGCTGCTTTCCCACCCATGGGAGGAACATGGGGTCCTTAGGAGTGGGTTGGTGCTGCTGGAATAAAAACTTAAATGAATTGTTATTCAGAGAGCTTGAGGTGATGTCCATGGCTCTTTCCCTTTCCATTTTATCCTCACAAGATCCACGGAAACCAAGTGAGCTTCATGGCTGAATGGGGATTGCAAATCCTCTGTGCTCAGAAGATCTTAAATCTTCACTGTATCCAGCATGAGCATCTGAACAGAGTCGCTGTAACTCTCAGATCACTTTTGACCCTCCCTCTGTAAGAAATGCCATGTGCAAGATCAGCAGGTGAAAGACTGACAATAACATAACCCCTTGGCAGCTCATGAAACTTGATGTTGTGTAGGACTGCCATATGTCCGGAATTTCCCGGACACAGCCGGTATTCAGCTGTCGAAAACAGCGCCTGGGCGGAAAACGATTAAATGTCCAGGAAAATCCGGACGTATGGGAACCCCTCTCAACAACTTTGGCCAAAAAAACCTTAACACCTTTTGTGTCCAGATTTTCACTTTTTGAAATATGGCAACCCTAATGTTGTCCCTGCTGCCCTGCCCTGGTTTGGGGGTGGCACTGGAAAAGAGCAGGGTTCTCGTGTCTTAAACAGCTATACGACAAGCAGATATTAAACACAGTAAGCAGCAGAGAACTACAATTATGGGCAAAACGCCGCCCTGTCTAATGATCTGTTCATTGGTGCATTACTTTTGTCTCTCTATCCCCACCTGCAAAAGAGGACACAACTTTCCTAGAAGCATAGAATTGTAGGGCTGGTTCTCTTGCATGCATGCATGTACACACACACACACACACACACACACACACAAGCAACATCTCTCTTTAAGCCCCTTTATATAGCTGTCGGCCTCTGAGCATTGGCATCAGTCCCAGGGCACCATGGGGTCTCCTGAGGTCATGAGCGCTCAGCCAGTGCCCCACCAAGCCAGCCACTGCCCATAGCTGTCAACCGTCCCTTATTTGGCGGGAAAGTCTCTTATCCCAGCGCCGTGTCCCGCTGCTGTCCCTTATTGATGATGTCCCTTAAATTTCCTGGGTTTCAAAGGAAGCAGCTCCTCTCCCTCCCTCCCTGCCGGCCAGGGAGGAGGGAGGCTCCAACTGTGTTGCTTGGCTGCGTAGCTCACCCAATAAGGAGTCTAAGAACGACTGGGGGGTGGAGCTTGCATGCTTTGTGCCGATCAAATCGGCCGTGTTGCCTGGGGACTCGCCTTTGCTCAGCGCTTCCCAGTGGAGAGGGGATGGTGGTTTTCCTTGCTGCATCCCCTTTGCCGGGTTGCTGCGCTGTGGGAACCACCACGTGAGGCTTTGTTTGGCTGCTGGTTGACTAAAATCCCTTATGTTGGCTGCTGATCCCTTATTTTCGAGGCTGCTGGTCCCTTATTTTCAAATCTGTAAGTTGACAGCTATGCCACTGCCCAGGATTCTGATGTTCACGCCCATGATGCAGTCATAAAAGTGCCTTGCTCTATCAGACCAAGGCCCACCTACCCCACATTCGCAGTCTCTACCCCTGCTCTACATGGACCATCAGTAGTTAAATGAAGCTTCAGTTGCGCTGCTCTTTAATAACCACAAATGGATCCTTTGCTGTATTCATTCATTATAGTATATGTCAAAGCCATAATAGGGCAGTCATTTGAGATGAGCTTTGGCACCTGGACAAAAAAGATTGCCTTGCAGGCTGTTGTGAATGAAATGCGGATTGAAAGGCACAGAGCATTTAGGAGATGAAGGCTATTTTTTAAAAAGCAACCATTTTTTTGACTCTTCTTCTAAAGGCAAGTAACCTTGTACCTCTCAGGACTTGGTCCCATAAACCCGGAGTTGTATACAGCCCAGAACATCTTTTAGGCAAAACATCCCTGATAAAGAAAGCAGAAAGGTGTCTGGTAGTTGCCTAGATGAAGATATAAGGCATCAGTTTATGTTTCCTTGCTTAAAGATAACAGATGTTCTTATATTGTGATTTTATGTTGTGAATTGTCCTGAGACCTGCATGTATAGGGTGGCATACAAATATAATAATAATAATAATAATAATAATAATAATAATAATAATAATAATGCTCCTACTTAATCCAGCTCCATCTATCATAAATGCTCCTCACCTCTGCCAATTTTGGCTCATTTATTGAAGAAAACTACTTAGCGAAAAGTGGAGGCAACTGGTTCCTGCACATTTATTCTCCATAAGAAGTTGGATGCCAAATTAGAGGAAATTCTTAGAGATATATTTCAGATTCTGAGATCAACAAGTCAGCTGGCATTAAGTTTCTTCAGAAATATGTCACTATTTACAAAAACAGTGTGTGGGGTTCAGCGCTGTTCCTTCTCAGAGCAGACCCATTGAAGTTAATGGACATGATTAACTTGGGGTCATGGATTAAAATGGGTCTGCTCTGCACAGGACTTAGCTGAATGCAACCCATTATGGATAGGGATAATTGATAATCTGGGATAATCTGCTAGGGAATGAATGGGACTATGAAACCCTATTCCCACACCCCCTGGGGTGCTTTGGAGATGACCCTTTGTTGTTGTTGTTTAGTCATTTAGTTGTGTCCGACTCTTCATGACCCCATGGACCAGAGCACGCCAGGCACTTCTTTGGTCAAACTCATGCTGGTAGCTTCGAGAACACTATCCGACCATCTCGTCCTCTGTCGTCCCCTTCTCCTCGTGCCCTCCATCTTTCCCAACATCAGGGTCTTTTCCAGGGAGTCTTCTCTTCTCATGAGGTGGCCAAAGTATTGGAGCCTCAGCTTCACAATCTGTCCTTCCAGTGAGCACTCATGGCTGATTTCCTTAAGAATGGATAGGTTTGATCTTCTTACAGTTCGTGGGACTCTCAAGAGTCTCCTCCAGCACCATAATTCAAAAGCATCAATTCTTCGGCGATCAGCCTTCTTTATGATCCAGCTTTCACTTCCATACATCACTACTGGGAAAACCATAGCTTGTACTATACGGACCTTTGTTGGCAAGGTTATGTCTCTACTTAGGGTCCCTCTACAATTCTGTGATTCTATGGGTTGGGTATATGGCTGGCAGGAGGAAGGAGGGGCCAAGACTAGAATAGAGACTTCATGTGACAACTGAGTGAAAGCATCACCAGGAGTACACGGGGCTGCACTACTAACCCCAACCATAAAAGCCACATCTGGAAAACTAGCAAAATCTAGCAGAC